TATGCTGGCTTACAGTGCCAAGAATAGAAGAATGGGAATTCGGAAACATGTTTATGATCCTTTCCTTTACAATACAGTGTTTATTTTCTTAAATCTTATCAAGACTTTCAGAGCTCTGGTGACGTAATACGTATCTCCAGGCTGAAACGTGAGGAAGAAGTTTACTTCTATCAGCGATCTTTGGCTTTTGTTGTAGTAGATGGTTTTATCTAGAGTAGTCAGACAACCTAGCAGCTGTTTTCTGAGCAGTTGAACCCCTGTGTTTCCTACCGCTAGGTGCTTAGCATGTAAACAAGTCCATGTCTGTATAGGTATGCCTGTGATTCATCAGTGGAGCTGTTGATGGGTACCCCCACTCTGTGTTTAAGTGTCCTGAAAGAGAGGTCCCAAACAGACCTGCTCAAGATTAGAGTGCTTTTTAGGCTGTGATAGCAGTTAAGGTACTTCGTGCGCATTGAAAGCCCAATTTCCAAATACATGTGTGTACTTGTTTGTTGTGGTTGCCGGTTGTGTGTGTTCTGTTGGGTGATACCTTAGTCTTTTTGGTTTGTTATTTTATGATTCTGGTTATTGGCAGTCATAGCAGTTCTTCTATACAACTGCAGGCATAAAAATAACGAGATGAGAAAGTGCTGTATTTAGATATCATCTATTATAGTGATATTTCAGTTCTAATAAAAGGGAAGAACAGTCACAAAATTGGTAAAATGGTGTTTAAGTATTAGTATTTGAAAAACTCCATCTTGTGCATGCTTTTTTTCTTGAACTTCATTTATTTATTTTTGATAGTGATCCAAGTCTGTCCTCTTAGTACAGCATAGTACCTCTGTGGGACATTTACCATAAACAACAATTTAAAAAAAAAAAAAAAGCTCTGTGGATTGATGTCAAAACTCTGAGCTCTGAGGAAGTAAAAACCTGTTATAAATAGTAGCAGTAAAAAGGCACCAAATAGTGTGTAAAGTGTATATCCCTGGTTGTATATTCTATGAAATTATTTGATTTTATTTCACTTGCTAAAGATTTTTAAAATTAATAGCTTTAAGTCTAGCTGCTAGTCTTTGAACTCTTCAGTCATTTGCAAAATTGAATGAGATTTCCCTTTTGGAGTTGATAGACCTTTTGAGAACTTCTGGTAGAATTTCCTGCATAGACTTGCTGTTACATGTACTAATTTATGCTTATTTTTAGTAACTTTGTTCAGGAAGTACCGCCAGAGTATAGAAGGGACATTACAAGAGTGGTCTGTATCTGGGTTCCTTTCTTGGGGGCAGAGGGGAGCTCATGAAGGCAAGCATGTGCAAACTTTTCCATATGCTACATAGCTGCTGCCACCTAGAGAAAGGGCAAGCAGGTAGCAGGGGCAAAATTCTCCTGGCACCTTGATGCTTGGTGTTTGCCTGTCTCTTAGCCTCCTTGTTCAAGCCAGCCTACAAGCTGTATCCTTGCTCCCGTTGTCCAACAAGGGCAGGAGGTGGGCTGTGTGCTTTATGGGGCCTGACCTACCAGGAGGTGGGTAGTAGGAATGGATGTACAGGCTGTCTGCATCCTAACCCTGTTATGCTGCGTTGAAGGGCAATATGGCAGTGGATAGAGTCCCATCGCTGACAGCCCTTTCCCATTTCTCTCCCAAGCAGGTATTTGGTGCTTGTAGCTTGGGCACTGTTGTAGCTTGTAGTTGGGTACTGTTGTCTGCCTGCCAGAGCTCTGTCATGCGGTTCTGGGTAGTGCTGCTAGCTCTCTTCCAGCCCTCAGATTGCTGCACTCTGCTTTAAAACAAGCCAATTCTGTTTGCTTCCGAATAGACCACAGTGAGGCCCTAAATGATAAAAGGGGGTTGCTCTAAAAGGAAATTGTACAGGCTAACTGCTTTTGACATGCTGTTTTTCACCCTTAGCACAGACTTGCTGCTCTCTGCATCCATTTTCTGGGGTGCAGGCTGCCTTTTGCCACCTTCAGTTTTTTCTCCTGTGACAAGTCAGTGCGTTGCAAAAGGGTCCCACAGAAGCATTCTGAGGGTAGCACAGATTGATGTGATTTTTTTTTCCCCCCCTTACCTTCCCTTTCCGTGGTGGTGAAAGCTAAGGAAATCATATTTTTACATTTGTGAAGTCTCCAAAGCTGCTGCCCTTCTTGGGTGCAGTTAAACGTCTGCATGAGCTCACAAGGAGCACAGGTCTGACATAAGGGATACGCACTGCTTTCCCAGTCTGTAGCCCAGAAAGGACTGATGTTAGTGTTGTGTCTGGTTGCCTTGTAACTCTCCAGCCTAAATGACAAGGTATGCGCTTGGTATGAATCCAGAACAAAGTTTAAACTGATGTCTCCCTTGACGTACTGAAGTGGCTTGGAGCTGTTGTCCTACGTTTTTGGATTATAGAAATTTTTTTGTTTTTCATGGAAACCCAAAAAAGTCTCTGGAACAGCCTTTCAGAAGATGGATTTTTGATTGTCTTCTCATAATTTGTCCATTTTAAAGCTCTAACTTTCATTTTGTACATTCAGCGCTTGAGTTGTGTTAAAAAGCCACATGAAACTTGAAGGAGCTCCGGTTCATTAAGTAACTGTTGCCTGAGATAACTGTATCACAGAGTCTGCATTGTGGACTCACCAGACAACTGTTATACCTATGACACCTTCAGTTAGATTCCACGTCTGTGATTAGTGGTAGCAAATGCCTCTGTATTTATAGTAACGGCTGGTGGCCCCATCAGAACGGGAGGAGGTTTGTTTTTTTTAACTTTGCAACAGGATACAAACATCGGTAGGAAGGCTCTCTCATTTTTACCTCTGTGAAGTGTCCCCATCTCTAGTTCCTTCATTTAGTTTTTGCTGTTGAATAGCTCATTACTGAGGCGCGACAAATAGGTGGGACATCTATTTATATATTTAAAAAAATTAAGCCTGACAAGATATTTCAATACATACTTTAAAGACAACTTTGTTGAATGTGTGGCTGCTCCAAGCTTGTATTTCACAAGTGTCTTCCATGTAGTATTTTTCAGAAACGTGTAGTGAACAAGATAATCTAGTTTCAACCAGATACAGAAATTTTTCTCAATCTGTGCATTTCTGAACTTGCAGAGACTTGTGAAAGATCTCTTGTAGAATATGGCGTTGCTGACAAAGGCAAGTGCATGTACAAAACGGGACTGGTTAGGTTTGTCATCTTGTATATATAAGCAAGCATCTTTTGTTTTGATTAATGTTTTTAAAGCAGCATTATACCATATATTGCGTGCAACTACTGGATTAGTTCTATGAGTTGTCTTCCTTCATCAGTCTTTAGAATGTGGTTGTGACAGTGAAGCTAGGTACACGTGCTCCCGTTACTTTGAAAAACAAACGAAAGCATCCCTTATTTCTTAGCAGCCTGAAAGCAAGCAGCAAATATTCAGAGTAAAACAAAAGTTTTTCAGTGACGCCTGTGTTTTAATCGCAAGGTATTTCTTCCTGCCTGCATTTCCTTCCTGTCCGCTATGTAACAGTCTGCTGAGGAGGCCAGTGTCTCTAGAACATTAGTACTTTAATTAAACACAATATCGTATTGATAGGATATATTTGATTATATATGTTCATACCACAGTGCGTGTCACATTTGCTGAGAACTTTGTCGCCCAATATGGGAGCATTAATTAAATAATCTGGGCTGCTTATGTATGAGCGAATACTCCCATTTCTCCGAGCAGTGTATGTTGGTTTAAAATTGATTCTTTTGTGCGTTTGCTGAGATCAACTAAGTGGTTGCATTCCAGCTTCTGATCTTCTCTACCAAATGCTCAATTTCTAGCTGATCCTGTGGTCTTGCTTGTGCTTGTTCTTACTCCTCCCTTTTTTCCTGCCTTTACCCTCCAACATGCCAGTTTTTTATCCTCAAAATCCAAGCATGTTTAGTTTCCATAATCTTAGGTGAAAAAAAAAAAAAGACTGGTCTTTCCACCTACCTTCTCCCATAATTCTCTGGACATAGATTTGCTGTCTGAAGTTCCTCATATGTAGTTCCATACTGCAATCCCTAGGGTAATTTCTGTGCCTCTGTGCAAAATTGTTCTTCCCGAAGTCTCTGTTGCTTTTCTGTTAGCCAGTCTTGCCATCTTACACAGCAAGGTGAACAGGGCTAGCTATGAGGATGAAAATAACTGTATTTGAACTGGAAGCGAAACTGAACTTGATGAATGTCCTGTATCATACCTCAGGACTTGGTTTGCTGATCAATTTTTCACACTTTTCTCATGCTGAGTTTCTCACTGTTCGAGTTTGCTCCTTGAGTGTTGCCGTACTTGAGTTGATTAAATTTGTTGTAAATTAAGAGTTGTACGTTCCAAGATTACCATTGTATCACTAGCCACTATCATCTTTTCCTAGTTGTGTCTGCTGAACAATGTAGCAGAACATTGAGGCATATCTAAAAAGTTAATGTTTCATTATCGTTTAATAAAATAGTGTTCAAATAAACTGTTGTGGCATTTTAACTGCTAATACACAGAAGTAACATCTATGAACATTAAATGTTAGCGCTCTGAAAATCTGCTGTGTTCTCTGCGGTCTATAGTCTTGATGCTGGAGTGGAATGAAGCTGGGAGAGGAGTATCCCAAGGCTCTATCTCTGTACTGGCACAAGAGCGAGGGCTGACTGGAGGAGAAATTATTAGAAGGCAGTTAGGCAGCCTGTATAAGAGGCTGTGAGCCGGGCAGCTGAGACTATCTACGTAAAAACAAGTTGGAGGAGATAACAAACCTGAAGAAAGGGACTAGACTTGGCTCATCAAGGCATTAACAGTAAACTTTCCATGGGTGATCACAGGCTGATCTGTTTCTGGAGTTTGACACTCTGTGCTCTGATCTATTATAGTGGCGAGCACCAATTTCTGCATCTTAAACTTTATGAATTGCTAAATGACCTGCAAAGTGACTCCGTGATTCAAACTGATTAGGCCTCATTTCTGTGGATAAGAGATATCATCTTCCATGAAAATAACTGGTGTAATTAGGAAAAGGAGATGAGCTTTCAGGCCGCCTTTGCCTCTAAAGTAGAACCAGCAAACCGCAAAGATAAATGCAAGCTGAGAGCACTTGATATTGAATTTACTACATATCCATTAGACCACCTGAGAAAAAGGGTGATTGCTGCCTATAGAGAATAAGGGAGGTGGTGGAAGAAGTAATAAGGTGGCATCTCTTAGAAAAAGAAAGTCAGGTAATTTTTGGCCTGTGAAACATGGAGAGAGGTTAATGGGGTAAGAGGAGGTGTGCTATAAAACTTGTATTGCTACTGAGTTTTAGTCCTGAGTAGAGTTAGGAATTTTAGCTTCTCAGCTCACGCTGAGAGGTGTCCTGTAGGTCTTTCTTGAGGATCAGGAGTGAGAGATCACAGAGGGAGTAACTAGTCTGTGGGAGATACCCTTTGATTGGCTTGGTCATTCAGGGCAAAGTTTTAAGTAGGGATGAAAAGGATGAGCTGACAATATGTGTGTATGGTTATACCTGTAAATGATCAAGGCCAACTTGCAGTGCCATTGTATGGGATGTTGACTTGTCAGTGATGATATTGCTGGTGGCTGGGGAGGTGGTTTATTTGGTATAGTTTGTGAGGAAAGTCATCTTTTCATGAAGGAGGCTTGTTTTCTGCAAGAGTTCCTGTGTTTTTTAGTCTCAGTGTTGTAGTGGAATGAAGGAGCATGTTAAAAAACATCTCTGGGTAGAAGAATGGGGGATTAGGTTGCATAGTTTTTCATGGAGGTGTGGTGAAGCAATTTGGTAGACTCTTGGATTCTAGTTGGTCACTCAGTATTCACATGTACTTCTTCATATTATATTCTTCTGCCTTATATCTCCAAAGGTAAAATGGGAAGAAGATTAATCATTTCTCTTCCAGAGGTGTTGGGAAAATACTTACATAGATTTAAATGCATTTGGTAGCATAATTTAGTGATAAGTACCATAGAAGAGCTTAGATGGAATAGTAAATCTTACTTAGAAATCATATTTGAATAGCATTTGATAACTAAGTCATGAAGCTGCCTAATGATCTGAATTAACAAAAATGTTGAAGACTGTTCATTAAGTGAACATAACACAGTCTGTGTACAAAACAAAAAAAAAATGTGGATACAGGAGGAAGAATGAGGGAGGAGAAAGCAAAATGTGCATAGTTACAACTACCTGACTTTTAGTTATGCATTCACAAAGGAGCCAAGCTAAGCTTCCACTGGCAGTTCTAACATCCTCTGGGGTTTGATTTTTTTTCCACTCTTGTTAAGTATAGTTTTATTTATATAATAGTACACTACAGTAAAATTTTGTAAGACTTAATACATGCATCAAGTATTTACTTTTAAGGCACAGTGTAGCATTTGTGTGCTTTGACACCTCTTCTCTCAGCTTGACACCTTTTTTTCTTGTGGTTGAGAATTTGATGATTGTGTTCCTTTTTTCCAATAACTGAAATACCACTTTTGTACATATTAGAAAATAACTAAACCACAGCACCATTTGCAGGGACGTATATTGCACGTATCAAATCTTTGTGGTTAATAGCATATCTCAGCCTCTATATATTAGTCTTTGTCAGGTGTTATCTTTGTGGTCTTGTTCTGAAGACATGAAAATTGTTTACTTTCCCTCATTAATGTATCACAGAGCGAAGTTGGAGTGCTCACTTTGTGAACAAGAAGCAGCCTAGAGCAGGTCAAATATGAGTTACCTTTTAACATTTCACAAAAGCTATATTAAGAGAATATTAAGGATGCCAAACCGGACATTGAGAAGCTAAGTGACAGCTAAAATTGTTTGGGTGACCTTCACTTTTCCCCTTCTTCTGTATGCTCTGTGACAGCCTTTAATAGTTACAGGGCTATGTAATTGCCCTTCCCCTGCAGCTGTCCCTCCCCCATCCAAGCTGCTGTTCGGAACAGACATGTTTCCTGCATGAGGAAACCATGAATGCTGTTTTTTATTCCTGTATCATTTACTACCTCACCTCTGCTGTTGTTTAGTAAATGTGCTTCAAATACTCTCCTGTATGTGGAACTGCATGGTATTTTCACTGTTCATATTCTTTATGAACGTTAGTAACTTGTTATAACAGCTTTTTAAGAAATATTGCAGGAGACATAAAAATGTCATTGCCAGAAGTTCACGTTGAAACCAGGCTTTCCCCAGTAGGACTATTGACTTCTGGCAAGGCTGAGTCAGGAGATCTCAGGACTTTCCTGGAGCACAGACCCTGGATTCTGCAGCTTTGGTCCTCCTGCTTTTGATCAGGTTTCCAAAGCACAAGATAGATCTGCAGGAGCTGGGCTAATCTACTCTAGCTTCAGTAAATTCATATCATCTGTCCTGCTAGTAGATTAGTAAAATACCAAAAATAGCTGTGTAATCATTACAGCTGATGAACCTGATATGGGCTGGGAGACTAGCTTTCAGTGGACGTGGGTTATCTGAGGTTCTGGATTGCATATAGGAAGAAAACTGTCTCTGCAAGAGAAAAGAATAGAAAATCAGCCTGCAAGGCTCTGTTGTGTTCATACTGGTAGCAAATTGAGTCCGTTTTGGGAGAAGTATTTGGGATTGTTGTCTAATTTTTCCAGTCATTTCTAGCATGTTGCCTTCTCCAGATAATTCAAAAATGTATTTGGCTTTTCTCATCTTTAACTAAGTCTGTTTATCAATTAGCAATTGTTCTGTTTCTTTCTAGTACCTTCGCCAACACAAATTGTAATAAAATCCAAAAATTTCAAGACTCTCTTGCACTGGCAATACCCACCTCTTTTTGAAACCCCTCGTTTTACGGTGGAAATCAAACCTTACTCGTAAGTTCTTATTCTTTCATTGTTTCTGTACCCCCATTTTCTAGAAGCATATAAGAGCAATCAGTCTATGATAAATGGTTTTATTTCTATTTGGTGAAGTTATGTAGTGATAAGTGTAAATTAAGGCAAAATTTGTCAGATGTTTTGTCACAGACGTTATACTGTACAGTAAGTGGAAACTGTATTAACTATTACTTGATCTATTTTACAGCATAGGTTCTTATAAGAATGTCTCAGCTTGTGTGAACATCTCAGCAGATTTCTGTGATCTCTCAGGGGAAATACATGACCTCTTTTCCTCCCATTGGCTTCGAGTTAAAGCCATTATTGGATCAGAAGAGTCTGAGTATGTTGAGACAAGTGAGTTTATTTTGCAAAAGCATGGTAAGTCCCATCATACACTTGTAATATAAAAAACAAGTAGGATTATCTTTTTTTTTTCTTTCTTTCTTACTGCATTATTATGTCCCAGTTGGGAATATCGTAAGCTCAGGAGTCCAGGGTAGAGTGAAGTATGACGGCTGTTCAGTAGGAATTTCTTAATTCTGCCTCTGTAGGGACTTGTTTGCCCTCCCACTGCGGTATTTGAATCTTCTTCGAGACTTTTAAAAGCAGGGAAATTGTGCTAGTGATATACTCTGTGCATCCCTCCCATGTTCTTGCCTGCTGGCCCAGACACCAAAATAGGGTAGTAAGCTGCTACTAGAAGCTCTGGTCCCATAGAAGTATGCAAGGGGTCAGTGAAGTGTTGTCTTACTGCTACAGCCCAACTTACCAAGTGATGTCTTGATGCTAGAACTGTACTTTCTGGCAGCTTTGGGTGTCTATAGACATTACCTAGAAACTACAGAAGTTCCTTGTGTCTGGATAAGTAACAGTTACTCATTCTTCATTTAAATGCTTTGGGCTGCTTCTGTAGGAATAGTACTTTTTTGCATTAGTACTGCAAAAGTTATATGTCCAGAGTGTAAGCCAGCCTTTCTAAAACTGTGGTGCAGGCTCCAGCAGTGTGTGGGGAGCACAAAGTGAGAACTCACAGGAAGCTACAGTTTGCAGAAATTTGGCAGTGGTGTATGGAAAAAAAAAAAACCTAAAGAAGTGTTCCAATTCAACAAGAGAGACACATGTTCAGTCAGATAATCAGACAGCAAAAATTCACATTGGCCGTTGCCACAGGAAATCAGGCTTCCTAACTTCTGTTGTTCAAGACGCTTATTTGTTTAGTTTTTTGGGTAGCCCCTTTTTTTGGTACTGTGTTGTTTTTAGTTGAGCATGATTTATGGGTGAGATTTAGTCAGCAGTGTTGTGTGTTCTGTTCTCATTTACCCATAAATGTGCAAATGCTTTGTTGTTTTTTTTCTAACTTGTCAGTAAACTGAATTGCTACGTAGGAAAGTTGGATTTTTTTTAACAGTAAAAATCTCTATGGACAATCTCTGTTATTTCTGTTTTAGAAGCAGATTCATGCTTGTATCAATGTTATTACTTCTCAGTACTACAGCTGTACAATATCAACAGTATTCAAATAGTCATGTAATTCTTCTCAAATGTCCAAAGAATTTATGAAAATTAACTATAAATAGCAAGTTTTACTAGATTTATATATCTCGGTACTATGTCAAAAGCTTTGGCCTAATAGAAAAGGTACAATGTGTTGCAGGAAAAATAGGACCGCCTAAATTGCATCTCTCAAGGCACAGTGACAAAATCTTCGTTGATATTTACCATCCTCCATTTCCATCTGTGGAGCTTTATCCTTGGATTGAAACAATTTATTCAAAGCTCGCATATGTGGTGACTTTTGGGGACGGTAAAAATCAGGTATATTTCAAAGTGAAAACTTCAAATTACAAATATTTGTATTTTAAATGCTTAAACAGTCTACTCCTTAATGTTAGATTTTTTTTTTCTTAATTCTCAGTGACACGTAAAACAGTTAGGAGAAAAAAAGCTGAATGTAACATAAGACTGCTGAAGGAAAGTGAAGCCCTAACATGTCTCTCACCATGACATACTTGACATGACAGGCAGATCTAGATGTTAGTTGTTCAAATGCAAGTCTGATAACAAAAATTAAAGATTATTGTATGAGCTGTATGCAAAAGTTAGGGTTACTTGATTACATGCTATTATTTCTCCATACATGCTAAAACATTGGTAACTTTACCTGCATCTCTTTCACTACTCTAGGTAGACCTTTTGTATCAGATTAACTTTCAAGATATTGATATTGCTTCATTTATTTAGCAATTGTGGAGGGTGAATTTGAGAAAACTCTTGGTAGATATTTTTATTTATAGAGTTAACTTTTCATATACATCCAGGTACAATTTTTATAAGTGAATTAAGAATGTGAATATAGACTACCAACAGAACCTGTTTTGGATGCATCTGAAAATTTTAGCTGTAAGCACCATGGTTTGATGAAGTATAACGCCTTAAGGTAGCGAGTAAATCTATTCTCTTTTGGAAATAGCTGATAGACAAAGTTCATAGCTTTAGCAAGGCACATAGAAATAGAAGCCACATATCAAATAATGTTGGCATTTTTTGAAAGTATTGGAAAGTACTGTAATTTTTATCTTGTTGTATTTAGTCACATAATATATTATATCTTTGCTTTTTTGTAGAGTAATGAGGAGTTCCTTGCAGACGATTGTGAGAAGCTTAAATGTGGCCTAGACATCCCAATTCCTTCTGAAGGTTCCGTTTATTGTGTTTCCGCGAGAGGAACTTTGTATGATGATCTGATGCTTGGCGCCCAGTCAGAAGAAAGCTGCATTCATGTTCCTCTCAAGCAGACTTTGAGTAAGAGGATTCTAAAATTTAGTAAGAATACTACTGAAGAGTTGTCATATGGAGTCTGACCAGAGATCCATTTTGGCTTAAGTATTCTGGCTCTGATACAGCGATGGGATGACTTGACCTGTAGGAGAGTATCAAAAAAGGGAGAACATAGTCATTCTTTCCAAACGCACTTTCCCAGTTCTAAAGACTTCTAAAGATAATACGTTATTTTCAAATGACCTTGATTTTTTGGGGTGTGTTTTTCCTGCTTCGTTGGTGTTTTAGAATTTGTTTCGATCGTACGTGATCATTGGTGTGATTAACAAATGACAAACGGATCATTCAGGGAGTTGCATGATTTTCAGAAGCGCAATATCCATCTTGTTACAAATTGCTTTTTGCTGAATCATATCTCCAAATAAAATGCATATAAGCCTTCATGAGTTTGAAGTAACAATAAACTTGTGATTAAAAAAATTAAGGTACCATCTTGTTCTTCTTAAGAGAACAAAGGCAGCTAGTGACCCAACTTTGTATCTCTGAAAACCCCTTACAGACTTTCTAGTGTCACTTAATATGGACGAAAAGTTCAATAGAGAAAAGAGGTAAAATTAATAGAAGCGACTGCATGTTCTTTCTTTCTGCAAAAGAAGAGCAGTACGCTTGGGGGAATTAACTGTTCTATGTTTTGGAAGACTTCACATTTTAATTTTATTGGATATAGATTATCTGCAATAATTCTTATGTCAATTAATCACACTGTCCCAAGGAAAAAGTAAAGAACATGCACATCCTTCATCTCTAAGGAGTGAAAAATTATTTATAAAATTCCTTTATCTCTATAAAAACACTACTGTGTATTTCTTGAAAATCTTGCATCATTAATTTATAAAACAATATATAAAAATTATAAGTTATTGAGTGAGAAAGGGGGTAAACTGATACATTCACATATGGCAGCTAAGAATTCTGAGCTATTTCAGTTTCTAAAGTTATTCTGCGTGATACAGCAATGGTTTATTTTCCAAACTTCTTGACAAATTTTTCTCTTAACTTCCTAGACGCGCAAAGTATTATAATTGTGGTTGCTGTTATCCTCAGCTTTGTTCTAATTTTAACTGTATGTTGTGGCTGCAAGAAACTAAGGAAGAAGAACATAAAACTGCCCAAGTCTTTGGTAAGTTTAGACTTCTCTTCTGTATCAGGTTTTTACTCTCCAGGTAGCTAAGTTTTATAGCTTGTCACAGGAGGGGCGGCTGAGCCAACCCCAGAGCGTCCTCGTGCTCTGGTCCCCACAGTGCTCCACGCCCGCTACAAGAAAGGTTTGGGTGGCAATATAGGTGTCCCTGTCACTTACGAATGGGTTCACAATTAACGGCCAGAAACAAATAACGAAGTGTAATGTGTATCACTGCTAACAGTAACAGTTAAGAACTAGTAATAGTAACGACAGTAGTAGCAACATATCATTAATCAATCAGTAACCATACATTGAACTCCTCACACAACACAGAACAGGAACAATTACAGTAATTACAAATACAGACATGAGCTCAAACCAGTAAGGGTGCAGGTACCTGGTGGTTATGCTGGAAGGCACTGGTGGGGGGAGGAGGAGGAAGAGGAAGGCCACGCAGGGGCAGGGGAGGTGCCTCTTCAAGCCCGAGGGCTCCTCAGCAGGCCGCACCTGATGCAGCGTGCTGCCGCCACGCGCGCTCTGCAGTAAGCAGGCCGCAGCCGAGCTGGTGTGCCGCTTCGGTTACCGCCCCGGAGCAGGGGGCACGGCAGCGCTGGCCGCCTGCCGGGGCAGAGAGCTCCCCTCGGTGGGGGAGAGCCTTGAAAAAGGCTGCCTGGTGCCTTCCAGCCTTGAAAAAGCCCCCCCAAGGCGGCTTCTTCCCCAGCCGCTTCAGTGAATTCAGCGCTCTCCTTCTCACTGCCGCCAAAGCCGCTGCTGGGCTCACGTGTGCCCCTTTTATCCCTATCCCACTTTGGGACCGCAGGCAAGCGATTGGTTAAATTTGTCTAGACCCCCGCTCTTAGTGGTCCATTTTTAATCCCTAATTATAATGCGGACCTGTTTGCAAACTACCATGTAGACTCGCCTTTCTTCTGGAATATTCTACATGATTGACAGGTACGGGCTTCTGGGGTACATGTCAGCCCTCCACCAGTGATTTTTAAATTGTGGCAGTGGGAGATTTCTGCAGGCTAACCGGGGTCACAAAAAGGACTGGGTGATTGGCACCTTATGCCCATTGTTCAATAAAACCCATTTCCCTAACTTTTTCCCTAAACCAAACCTTCCGTGACACAACTATAACAGCTTTATGTCTATCTCATTTTTTACTATGATCTCTGAGAAGTTTAGGATTATTACCAGTCTAAGATTCTCACAGCCTCAGCAACCAGATGCTCTGTATTTATTTTAGGACTAGACTTCAATCTCTTTTTAACTGAAGCAACATCACTTGGTCTATTTTGAAAACTTAGTTCCTAAAAACTGAATGTATGTGCGCATAGATGCATTTGTATCCCTTCTAGTGATAGGGACAGGTATGAGATTTCTTCATTACATGGTAATATTGTGGTGTTTAATGTTATTACAGCGATGTGTGGAGTAAGAAAAAAAAGTAGTAGGGGCGTAGAAAGAGGGAAGAAGAACTCGGAGAAATCTGTTCTCACACAGAGCAGTCACAGGGAAGAGGGGTCAGCAGCTTCTCAACTTTTTCTGTGGGGAACTTACTGTCTTTAAGCAGCAGAGTGGGCATTCTTTAAACAGCAGGGATTTCTCCTTGTTTCCACACCAGGCCAGAGCAGAGCATCTGACAGGTACCATTATACTATACTTCTGGTGTCTTGTCAGTCACAACTGAACAATCAACAGCAAGTTTCAAGAACTGTCATGTGAGGCAGTAGTAATTCTTAATGGTAATCATATCAAGATTTTTCTCCTTGCTAGATACAGGAAGCTTCATATGACTTCTAGAGAGAACAGGCAGTGATTTTTCAATTCTCTATCCTCCAACTTGAAGACCCTTGAAATGACTCCATTTTGGTTGAGCTACAGGGGTAGCTCAACACCCAAGCAACTCCACCGGAGCCTGCTTTATTTTGAAATAGGATATTAGGAGGTGAGATTGCTTTGACCAAATGGAGATATCCAAGCCAGTGACACTATGTCCCTTTATGGTAAGCCGTAATCTAGTTAGTAAAGCTGATAGAGCACAGATGTGATTCATCTCATTCTAAAATGAATATCCACATCTGGTTAGGCAAAGCACCCTCTAAAATGCCTGTTCTCCTCTATGAACTATGACAGGAGCCTTAGAACTAGCTCAGAGGTAGCAATCTGTGCTGTAGACTTAGAAAATAAGATGAGATAAATGCATCGGAGAGAATCTACAGCTAGACCCAGTTAACATACACGCATACCTGCGGGAAAAGTGAGACACTGGTGATTTCTTTCAGCTTCTTGTTCACACCAGTATGTAACAATCTGAATACATAACGCTATGTTCTACATATACACAAAATTTTCATGAAGACAGTTTGTTACAGCAAAAGATACCTTTGTCCAAGAATAACTCTGTGCCCAGGAGATGCCTTGCTGCTCTAGCTTTCCAAAACCGCTGTGATATCACATCCAAGGCATCAGGAAAAAAGAACATCACACAAATAGAATGGGTGCCACATAACTACTGTGAGCTTACTGATAGGTGCTCCAGGTTCACACTTTAGCTTGTCTTACAGAAGTTTGTTTTGAGTACCCATACTGTCAATTTGCTGGGCTATATGTTATCTTGTGCTTCCTAGGTGTTCCAGCATACCAGATTCTCCCCGGTTTTGGGGAGGGGAAGGTTTTGACTGAAGTCTATATATACCAAACAATTCTTAAGCAGTCTAGTTCACGTTCCACTTCATGCCTTGCTGTAAGGAATTGAATGAGACTTAGAACTGTAAAGGTGCTTACCTTCTGTCCATTTCCATTGAAATCTCTGATCTAACTTGTAGGGCTCATGAGGATAGTTTCGATGCAGGTGATCTGAATAATATGGGAATTATCTCTTCAGATATCTTAGAGCTGAGAGCCTATCACTGTGCTTTAAATCTGCACCAGACATGTCTTTCCATGCAGGTCATGACTATTGTGCTTTACCTGAGCTTGTCTGGAAAGAAAGTATCTGTAGAGTCTTCCTGTATGTTAGTAGGCCAAGCGAGGTGTCCCACTTTAGGACAGCTGCCTTCCAGAGGTCTGCTTCCCAAGAGCTTTAATTAGACGCTAAAAGATTAAATCATTTGAGAGACTTTCAGCAAGTTGAAATTCTTTATAATCGGGGGAAAAAAAGTAGCAATTATCAAGCAGCTGCCTAGCTGCTCATATAGTCAAAGAAAAGAAAAAATTACCCTGCTATTTAGATCTTAAGGACGTTTACGTTATCTTCTGTAAGCTTTTTAGGACTCCAAGAAACAACACATCAGTCATGTTCAAATCTTGTTTCCAAAATGTGACTGTTTTCATTGAGTGGTTACTTTCATAAGAGAGAGTTTCTTTGTTTAAATGTGCAAAACACCTCTATTCATAGTAGCAGGGACCTTACCAGGAATATGAATCTAGTGAAATGGAGCACACTGTTTACAGAACTTCATCATGCTAGTTGTCTTCTACTGGGTCACAGGTATCTGATGTGTCAGCAGTCCAGCTGTAATTAAAGAGCCATTCATTATCTTTGTTATCTCACTAAAAGTATTCAGGATGTTTCTCCTCCTGCCCACCATCTTCAGTCATTCCAGTTTGTCCTGTGCATGATAACCAGATTTTTGTGTTCAGGTTTATGATACGGGTTTATCCACTTTAAAAGGAACCCTTCCTTAATTTAGCAATAAGCCATAGGCATCTCAGACTCCTGAAACTTCACTGTCTTTCTCTTAGTTCCTCTTATCTTTAAGTGGTGGCAAATGTTTTAGTGGCTAGAAAAGGCACTCAAATACACTCTTTGCCATAAAGACAAAGCCTCTTTGAAAAGCAGCAAAATTCGTTTTTTAGCTCATGCTTAAATCAATGTTTCTGCTATCTGCTTTTTTCTAAGACTGGCAGGGATAACAAGGCTGCATTCTCTCACTATATGTGCAGAACACTTACAAATACCAGTGAAATACTCAAGAATTTTCTCTGTGGCTTTGGCTTTTCGTTCGTTACGCTTTTGCAACGTATGTTTTTAATATGGAGAAACGGATTCTCCATTTAGTATAACCGATTGTCCATGTAAATTTTGTTGACTGATACCTGCCACAAATAATTGTCATCTGACAAGAAGTAAATTGCTTCATTAGCTTTTATGAAATCTTTTTTCCCTGTGTTGGCATTTACAGGGCAGCAAAATAGTCTTCTATTTATACATTGATCCAGCATTAATTCGTTGTGAAAACATGCAGAGACCATGTAGATTTTGTCAAAGCCCTAATGAGATTTGAAATAGACTTCTCAAACTCTCCTCCAGAAAATGTGCTCCTGGAAATTACTGAGAATGCGTAGGTGGGCAAACCCTCAGAAAATAAAGACAGAAATTGTGAAGTACCTTAACTGTTACTGATTCTTTTCTGGATGTTTCATTTATATGTATCCTGGAGCCTGGCTTTCGCCTGTGTAACACTCTAGTCTGTGACGAAGGTGAAGACCCGAAACCTGAGGTGTTCTTGCTGGAGACATTAAAATATCTGAGCGCATGCATCGTGCCAGGAAATACTGCTGAGTTGCAGCTTAAGTTCTCCTGTTGGCTCTGTGTTTACACATATTGGATTTTGTACACAAAAGAAAAATATTAACTTACCTACAGTAAATATTTTTCTTCAAATAGTAACCTATATCTTAATTACACTTTTTACTGGAGATGCTTTGAACAGCATTCAAATTAATGCAGTGGAATTTGTTGATTCTTCTCTTTGAAACTAGAAATGACTATGTGAATTGCTAAATTATCTTGTATAAATTGTGACTCCGTGACTCTTAAAGAACCTTTGGTACCAGGAAACCCATTAGGTTTTTTTTTCTTCCAATGGCTTCCTTGTTTCGTGGATGGAAGTAAGAGGGTCTGCTCCATCTTTAGGCAAAAACTCACTGGTTTTCTTTTTGAGAACAAAAGTCTTGCATGTATTTATAAAGAGAGTATGTACTTTATCTTCAGGATTTCTCTCTCTAAGTGTTGCCAGCAAGCAACATGAAATGCGGAAACTGTGTAGCGTACAAGGCATTCTCCTAACGCGTTTTAGGAATATGACTTAGGGCCATATGTAAAGGGTAGAAAGAACTTAGCGACTCCCTTGGTTTGGTTTGATTTTTTTTTTTTAAGGTAGTATAGCATGTACAGATGTTTAAGAGGAAGGTTTATACTGTTGTAAATGCAGATTTTAGCTATAGTTTGTATAGCATTCAATTTTAATTCATGTCTTGAAGTATTCCAACTTAAATAGGGAATTACTACAGTTACTGTGTGGCTATTGGAGTAAGATTTTTGCTACTCCAAAAAGCTACAGATTCTGATCCCTTCAAGATGAGTGTAGGTATGACATAAATACCCTATATTTTTCCATATATCTGTATAAATAGATTTTCAAGAGGTACGACATCAGTCCTAATAACTGTTCATAACCTTTTAAGTATCTGCACCTTCTTGATTGCATTCTGTTTTCTGCATCAGCTTCTTACGTATATGTGGTTCCCATATGTGCTCATGCAAAATTACTCTGAATATTCTTTCTGTAGCGTACTGACTATTCCCATATAACAGCTATCATTCTCTCTGGATATTCATTTTCTAAAGGGTAGCTATGTTGTAGTGTGGCGTATTCTCAGTGTCAAGAGCCACCTTAATACCATTTTTACTAGTTTTCCAGTGATATTCCTTGACTCCTAAGGAGATCATCTCACCTTAGTTCTGCTAACAAACAAACACAGCTGTTTGTAAAACTCAGATTACAAGTAATTCATTTCCATAGAATGTTTTTTTGGTGGTTTTTTTTTTAAACTGGAATAGTCTCATTGATCTAGTATAGACCATAGTACCATAAACAGATACCAGGGCAATTGAAGGGGAGGGTACAGGAGTGAAGTGAGAGATGAAGGAATGGCATCAGTTCTGCTAAAGCTAGCACTCCGCGAAGGTATGAGTGTAAAGATACGGCCTCAAAGCTTTTTGATCAAGGAAGGTATTTGTTAAGCACAGTCAGATTTAATGGTCTGATTTTTGGTGGTTGCCTCAGTTCTGATACAAGTACAGAATGGGAGATTCTTTTTGCCCATTGGGAGCTTTTCTAAAACCACACTGTTTTTTCCCACCTTTTTTCTTCAATAGCTACATTTCCCTCTTTCAGATTTGACTCACTAGTATTTTCAGTCAAAATATCTAACAAAATATCTCCCAAAAAAATGACATATATCTCAGTGAGAATTTAGCTCATCCGTAGTAGCTCATATTTTGTGATACATATGTGTAGTGAGTTATAGAATTTTAAAAAGAACTCTTGCACTGAGTAAGCCTTTTTCCTTAAGCTTTGTGCTAGCTTTAGGGGACAGCTTTACACAGCTGAAAAATCACCCTACTTTGTTTTTCATATGTATTCTTGAAAATATCTTAAAAAAAAAAATCACCAAATCAAACTAAATCTGAAGAAACTAAATGGCCTAAAAGCATGTCAATTTAAAACAAGCTTACAGCTGACTGTTGAAGGACGTGATGTGTGCTTCCACCAGTGGAGTTTTCAAAGGGAAACATCAAACTTTGTTGCAGCACTGATGGGATGTTTAATGATATTGGAGAAATAACTAGGAAGACTTCAGCATAGGTGTGACTAGCAGGACTGCTTAAACGTTCTCATAATTTTAAGGATCTGCCTTGGGAGAGCTCTTCTCTCCTAGTTGAGACAGTGCTGGAAAATTATACTTGTTAATTAGTTACACTCATAGGTATGGGCTGGAAAGGCTGCTGAAACTGGTTCAAGAGGAAGGATAGTACTGCTTTTTCTTCCTCTGCTGCTCTTCTCACCACTGTGAGCATTGAATGACTCAAAATGTAATGGGTGAAGGTTGCACCTATGAAATGGAGCTGATTCTTGCAATGTACTTGCACACTGAAAGTGTTTCTGTGAGTTTGATTAAAATCATTAATCAAACAGTTGGAGTCACAGCCATAGGCTGGTGAACTTACCAGAGTCTGTTTGCTAGTTTATGCTGGAAGTGATTGTAATAAAATTAAGTTTATAACACACTTTTTTTTATTTTTTATTAGTAACTTACACAGACATAAAAGGGTTTTTTATTTTTTCCATTTCAGGTCAGTGTGATAAGAAACCTGAACACAGACAACTTTCCAGAACCAAAATTAGAGCAAAAATACAACTCTGTGATAAGCCTCATGCCAGATGAGCCAGTATTGCCAGCAAATGATGAAGTGAACCCACTGAAGGTAGAACAAAAAGAAGAAATTGCTAATCCTGAGAATTCCAGTGAAGGAGCATCTTCTATTCTTCTGCCAGAGGTACCAGGCAACACAGGAGAAATTTCTGTGCAGGAAAGCAGAGAGGAGGTATCTTCTGATGATGAACAAAATCGTAAAGTAAAAGAGAGCTATTTCATTTCTGACAATAATCAAACAGAGATATGCAGTAACTCTTCAGATCCGGAGGTTTCTACCACGAAAGTACAACAAACTGTCAATCCAAGCAGCTCTCTTAAATTTTCTGGCTATGACAAGCCTCATGTGCCATTAGATATATTGATAGATGTTGGTGAAGAACGGCCTGTGATTGCATACAGGCCCGCTGACTAACCAGGGTAGCGGCAACATTTAACCAGAACTCATGAAGAGCAGCATTACTGAAGATTAGGGAGAGTATTGGTCATTTTAAAATGTCTAGATGTTGATAAAATATCTAAGCAGAACAACTAGTATATAACTCTTTGCAATGAGATCCTGAAATGCAACTGAGAGTAGTGCCCGAGAATAACAAAAAGTGGGGGGGAAGTTTCATAATAACCTGTGTGTTATTATGAAATCTCCAGAAGTGTGTGTATACACAGAGTACTCTTTAAAAAAATCAACTTACTACTACCTGTTTCAAAGAGTACTTGATGGAAAACAGATTTCATGAAGGAATATAGAGTGGTTGCTGTATCATTGTTCCATTCTATCCCACATCCTTTTCAAAATTAATTCTGTGAACTTAAGTCCTTCACTTGGTTATGTTAGAGATCTGTGCAAGACATTTGAGAGTTTTTGCCATTCCTGAAGGTGTTCTGTTGTTTTCTTTGTTTTCTCTTAACTACTTAAAGAATATTTTTGTATTAAAAGAAATCCTACTATTTCTTTTAGGCATATACCTATAGCTTTTCCATGCACCACACAGGAACTGAGCAATTTGGTTCCACAGCCAAGAATCAGCTCTTTGTGTTCTATTCTGCAATTAAAGTGTGTACTGGAAGATTACTTTGTACATTTCAGTTAGTAAACATTAGACTTTTTCCTTCAAAACACAAGTCTTGTGACTAAAAAAGGCTATGTTTAAAATTTGTGTTATCAGTGCATAGCTGCATCACTTTAGTTTGCCTAGATATATTGTATAATCAAGCCCCATTCTGGAAAACACCTATATTAGCAGGATGGCTTATCCTCATTGAAACAAGTTTAACATCTGTTTACACAAATTCTTAGAATATATTTTCAAAATTCAAAACCTATTTTCTACCAGAGCATTTCCATTCTTAGAACAGTGTGATTTTTTGATAGAAATCATCATGTCTCCTACCAAGCACAGCTAAACTGTTTTCTAGAATGTTGAGAATGACTACCATTTTTCAGTTCTTGTGACAAAGTCAGAAGCTACACCAAATTATCGTCCTCTAAAATACATCACAAAGCAATAAAGAAGTAGGAAGTACAACTTATCACACTAAGTTAATGGCATCTGACAGCACTCTGAATTTTCACTGAATCACAGAATGGTTGAGGGACCTCTGGAGATCTAGTCCAACCCCCCTGCTCAAGTAGGGTCAGCTAAAGCACGTTACACAGGATCACATCCAGACAGCTTTTGAATATCTCCAAGGAAGGAGACTCCACAACCTCTCTGGGCAACCTATTCCAGTGCTGTCACCCTCACAGTCAAGAAGTTTCTCCTCATGTGCAGATGAGACTTCCTGTGTTTTAGTTTGTGCCCATTGCCTCTCACCCTGTCACTGGGCACCGCTGAAAATAGTCTGGCCTCATCCTCTTGACACCCTCCCTTCAGATATTTGTAGGGATTGATGACATCCCCTCTCAGTCTTCTCTCCTCCAAGCTACACAGGCCCAGCTCCCTCAGCCATTCCTCATGAGAGAGGCTCTAGTGCCTTCATCATCTTAGTAGCCCTTCACTGGACTTGCTCCAGGAGCTCCATGTCTCTTGTACTGGGAAGCCCAGAGCCAGACACAGTACTCCAGGGCAGGCTTCACCAGGGCTGAGGAGAGGGGGAGGATCACCTCCCTCAACCTGCTGGCAATGCTGTTCCTAATGCACCCCAGGATACCATGGGCCTTCTTGGCCACAAGGGCACATTGCTGGCTCATGCTTAACTTGTCCACCAGGACTCCCAGGTCCTTCTCTGCAGAGCTGCTTTCCAGCCCCCAGCCTGTACTGGTGCATGCGGTTATTCCTCCCCAGGTGCAGGACCCTGCCCTTGCCTTTGTTGAACTTCAGAAGGTTCCTCTCCACCCAGTTCTCCAGCCTGTCCAGGTCCCTCTGAATGGCAGCACAACCTTCTGGTGGTATCAGCCACTCCCAGTTTTGCAGCATCAGCAAGCTTGCTGGGAATGCACTAACCTTCTGGTGGTATCAGCCACTCCCAGTTTTGCAGCATCAGCAAGCTTGCTGGAAATGCACTGTGTGCCTTCATCCAGGTCATCGATGAATATGTTGAACAAGACTGGACCCAGTGCTGACCCCTGGGGGACACCGCTAGCTATAGGCCTCCACTAGACTGCGCCTCTGACCACAACCCTCTGAGCCCTGCCATTCACCCAGTTCTCAAGCCACCTCACTGTCCGCTCACCTAACCCGCACTTCCTGAGCTTACCTATGAGGATGTGATGGGAGACAGTGTCAAAAGCCTTGCTGAAGTCCAGGTCGACAACAGCCATTGCTCTCCCCTCATCTACCTAGCCAGTCATCCCACCATAGAAGGCTAGCAGACCGGTTAAGCATGATTTCCCCTTGGTGAATTCTTGCTGACTACTCCTGGTCACCTTCTTGTCCTCCACGTGCTTAGAGATGGCCTCCAGGATGAGCTGTTGCATCACCTTTCCAGGGATGGAGGTGAGGCTGACTGGCCTGTAGTGCCCTGGCTCCTCCTTCTTGCCCTTTTTGAAGGCTGGGGTGACATTGGCTTTCTTCCAGGCCTCAGGCACCTCTCCTGATTGCCATGACCTTTCAAAGAGGATGGAGATCAGCCTAGCAATAACATCCTCCAGCTCCCTCAGCACTCGTGGGTGCATCCCATCAGGGCCCATGAGTCTGTGAATGTCAGGTTTGCCTAAATGATCTCTAACCCAATCCTCCTCAACCAAGGGAAAGCCTTCCTTTCTCTGGACTCTCTCTTGTCTCCAGGATCTGGAATTCCTGAGGGCTGGCCTTAGCAGTAAAGACTGAAGCAAAGGCGGCATTCAGTATCTCTGCCTTCTCTGGGTCTTCTGTCACCAGGTTTCCTGCCCCATTCAGTAGTAGACCAACATTTTCTCTAATTTTCCTTTTGTTAAGGATGTATTTGAAGAAGCCCTTTTTGTTGTCTTTGACATCTGAAGCCAGATTTAGTTCTGAATGGGCCTTGGCCTTCCTTATTGCATTTCTGCATACTCTGACAACATCTCTATATTCATCCCAGGTGGCCTGTCCCTGCTTCCACCTCCTGCACACTACACTTCCTGTGCATGTTAGAGTTTTGTCAGGAGTTCCTTGTTCATCCATGGAGGTCTCCTGCCTGCTTTGCTGGGCTTCTTGCTCATAGGGATTCACCCATCTTGAGCCTGGAAGAAGTGATCCCTGAAAGTTAACCAGCCCTTGGTCCTGCCTTCATTCTGTGGTCTGATCCCATGGGATTCATCCAAGAAGGTCCCTGAAAAGGCCAAAGTTAGCTCTCCTGAAGTCCAGGGTTGCATCCTACTTATTGCCTTGCTTCCTCCTTGCAGGATCCTGAGCTCCATGATCTCATGGTCACTGCAGCCCAAGGCTACCCAACCTTCACATCTCCAACTAGTTCCTCCTTGTTTGTTAGTACAAGCTCCAGCAGCACATCTCCTTGTTGGCTCCTCCATCACCTGTGTCAGAAGGTTATCAGCAATGCTCTGCAGGAACCTCCTGGCGTGCTTGTGCCTTGCTGTGCTATCTTTCCAGCAGATGTCAGGGTGGTTGAAGACCCCCATGAGAACCAGGGCCTGTGACTGTGAGCTACTTCCAGGTGTTTGTAACAGGTCTCATCTACTTCTTCCTGATCAGGTGGCCTGTAGCCAACACCCTTGTTAGGGTGTCACCCTTGTTAGCCTGTTCTTTAATCCTTACCCATAAGCTCTCAACAGCTTCATTATCCACCCCTAGGCAGAGCTCCATACATTCCAGGTATTCTCACATAAAGGGCAGCTCCACCACTTCACCTTCCTGGCCTATCTTTCCTAAAAAGCATGTAACCATTCATGACATCATTCTAGTCATGCAAGCTGTCCTACCATATCTCTGTAAATGCATTCAGAGCCCTGCAATGCAAATGCAAAGCCCAAATGCAAATCAAAGCTCTACAACCACACACAGATCTCTAATTCTTCCTGTTTATTCCCCAAGCTGCATGCATTTATGTGCAGGCACTTCAGAGAGGCATTTGAGTATGCCGGTTTCCCAGGAGGGGTGCAAGAGGATACCCCATAGTCATGTCTTGTAGGCACTTCCTTGGCTACATGCACTTGCTGGAGGTATCTGTACTTAAGCCCTGTTTTGCTCTCTGGGTGGTCTCTAACTCTCCCCTTCCCACATCTTTCCTAGTTTAAAGCTCTCCTTACCAGGTTGGCCAATCTGTTGGCAAAGACATACACCCCATTTAGTGAGGTGGATCCCATCTCTCACAGTCAGTTGGGAATCTTCAAACAGGGTCCCATGGTTATAGAAACCAAAACCCTGTTGCCAACACCAGCAGTGCAGCCAGTTCTTTACTTGGAGAATCCATCTACTCCTCACATCCTTCACCCTAACTGGCAGGATCAAGGAGAAAGCAACCTGGGCCCCCACACCCTTGACCACCATTCCCAGAGCTCTGAAGTCCCATTTGATAGTTTCCAGGTTGCCCTTGGTATCGTTGGTGCCCACGTGGAAGAGCAGCAGGGGGTAATAGTCAGACATGTAAACAAGCCTCGGCAGTCTTTCCATGACATCCAATTCAAACCGCCAGCAGGCAACAAACCTCTCTAGACAAGAGGTCAGGTCAGCAGATGGGTTCCTCTGTCCCTTGCAGCAGAGACTCACCCACAGCAATCACTTGCTGCTTCTTCTGGTAGAGCCTGCATGGCATAGGGTTTGTTGGCTCAGTTGCTTCACTTGAGGCCATGCCCAGCCCCTCCTCAGCTTGAAGGGCACTAAGCCTGTTCATCAACTGCAAGTCTTCAGGAGGAGCAAGAGCCTTTCTCCTCATACAAGGAATGACCAGTTTCCAGCCTTCATCTTCTAAAGTCTTAAAAGTTATTGTTTCACAGGGCACAGAGCCCATCTGCATGTCCACTGCAATAGGGGGTTGAGACTCCTGAAGCTGTAGGGTTTCTGAGAATATCCTATCCATCTCTTGCCCATCTTCACAGATGCTATGCAGCCTGCTTACTTCCTCCCATAACTCCTTGACCTAGCAACACAGCTCATCAACAACAGCACACCTTCTGCTGAAGAAATGACTGCCATCCCTAGCTTCACAGAGAGGTCCCAGGCACTCCCTGCAACCTGAGACCTGCAGGGCTATAGCCACTGTCAGAAGGTCTGTCTGGGTGGAAGCCTCTGACACAGCTGATGCAGCAATCTAACAGCTACTAGAGAACAAGCTCTGCAGTATGTCAAAACCATACCTGAGGGAAGCATATACTACTAAAACTGGAGATGAAGGGGCCTTCTTGTGTCCTTCTGCACAAACTGCTGTATCTCTTCACTGCATTCTAGGAGCTGTAGTCTAGGCCTGGCTCTTATATAGGCCTCTGCCTCACACTGACTCACAGGGTGCTTAACCCACCCTAATCAAGGGCTGATTGGAACAAAGGCCCCAACTCCCTCTGATCAGGGGCAACTGACAGACAGAGCTCCCTAGTGGCAGCTACACCTAGCTAGAGCTTCCCAGGAGAAGTTAAGGCCCTCTGTAGCTGTCCTTGCCTAGCTGTCCTTTCCAGTTAGCAGCAAGCACCCTCTAGTTGCTCAGAGGGTCCCCAGAAAGCCCCTACAACTTCCAGCAAGGTTCTCAGAAGTTCTAAGCAGATCCCAGACATTTTGAAGCATAAGATTATAATTTTGAAAATCAAAGGATGAGAATTACATTGCTTATTCGTATTTTAAAAAATTGTGAGACTGATGCCTATAAACCAGTTATTTTCCCTTTAGATAAGATGTTATGGTGAGTGCTTTTTTTCTATTTTTAGGAAGTGTTTACAGTAAGTTTTAATGAAACTTACTTCAGGGGAAAAGGATTTTTTTTTACAGAAACAAGGTGGTATGCCTGTACACATTTTTTTACAAAGGTGTCTTTGTTTTAAAAGATGTTTTTTGTAGGCATATCATAAATGTTTGAAAATCTCATAAATCTTGCATATTAAAGCAAATGATTTTGAAGGAAAATAAGTGTTATAGTACTTTTGTCCTTAAATTTCTCACTGGTCTGAATATTCATAAGATAAAGTTAGTTTCTCCAGCAACCATTGGACTGCTTCCTTTCTTGCAAATATCAGACATTAACCACAGTGGTATAGGAACAGTTCCCAAAGGGTTCAAGAGAATAGCTGCCTTTGCCTTCT